CCAATTCATTTGGGCTGAATTGCAGTGACTCCTGAAATGTGTCATTATAGGCAGCCACTAAGTAACAAAGATGTTGCTCCCAGTCTTTATGATAGTCAGATGCGTACTTGCGGAGCATCTGACCAATAGTTTTGTTCATCCTTTCAGTCCGGCCATTTTCCCAATGACAGTATGGGATGGACAACTGGTGGTCTATCTGGGCAATCTCACAGACCTTCTGCATAAGACCACTGACAAGAGAGGACCCAAAATCAGTAACCAGGGTCTTGGGCAGGCCCCAGTGGGTAGACTGCACCAGCAAAGCATTTGCAATAGTCTTAGCCCCGATGTTTGTTAAGGGTATGACCGATAAAAAATGGGACAAATGATCTATAATCGTGAGCAGATATTTCTTTCCAGTTTTCCCAGGGTAAGGTAAGGGACCTAATACATCCACACCCCACTTAGCAAAAACTTCCTCAGGGAGAGCTGGGGTTTGCAGAGGGGCCCTGGGGTTGTCTCTGTCATACCCTTCGAATTGGCAACTCGCACAGGATTGTACAAACCCTTTGACAGAATCATACACATCACGCCAGTAGAAGGACCTTGAGAGTTTCTCTAAGGTCTTTCTCCTCCCAAAATGGCCAGCGAACACGTTTTCGTGTGCCAATTTCAACACCATTTCTCGGTATTGCTGTGGGACAACAAGCTGCTCAATTTCCCCATGTGCCTTAGTTTGGCACCGACGATACAAAAGGCCCTGTTTAACAATAAACTTCACCCTGCGATCAGCGGTCGCCCTGGGGTCATTATGGACACTTTGCCAGCAGTCCTCAAGGGTAGGATCAGTTAGTTGGGCTTCCCTAAACTTCTCATCACCTTGGAACTCAGAGACAGCTCCCAAAAAATCATTTCCCTCTGTCTCACTGTCTGGGTCAACCGCAGGGCCTGTCAGTTCAGCGATAGCTGACAGAATGGGAATAGGGGCAAGGAGACTGGGGGTTTCAGCACTCTGGACAGCGGCCAGGTGGTGATTTCCCCCCCCTTCCTCCACAGCGGGCTCTGTTGCAGCCAAAGCAGACTGATAAGCAAGATCAGAGCCAATCAAGACTTGGTTTGCGCACAGATTATGTACTAGAACAATAGTTTTACCTTGGTAATGCTGGTAACACACATCAATTTCAGCAAGCCTTCTAGACACGGCCTTTGACTCGTAAGGAGTCACCAAAACTTCTTTAGACAAAAACTGATCAATATGAACCAAGGATTCATGCACAGAAGTTATTTCAGCACCAGTATCATACAGTCCACTCACAGTCACGCCATTAATGGTAATCTCATGGGTGTACGTCTTGCGCACCCATTCCAGCTGTCCTTGGTCGAGGAGAGATGCAAAACTCACCGAAGAGATTGAGGCTTGAGGGCCAGTCACGGTCTCTGGTGTCTCAGCCGGTGGGTTCACAGGAGTCAGAGGTGCAGGGACTGTAGGTTCCAGCTGTTGAATAACACGAACTTGGGGCTTGATTGCAGTGGGTGGAGTCCCTTTCTTCGCCAGCCAAAGAGGACATGCCGACCTTTTGTGTGAGTTACTTCTACACTCGAAACACAAACCAGACTTGGGATCCACAAGCTTCTTGACCGGCGACGTAGGAGGGGTCTTCCACTTCTCAGCAGAGGTGGGCAGCTTAGACGAGGGTGTCTTGGACTTGGAGGGAGACAGAGGATTCCCAGCAGCAGGGCGAGCAGGCCTTCCATAACCTCTCTCTCTGTGCTCTCGCATGCTTTGTGCGAGTTCAGCGGCATCCTCAAGCGTTTTGGGTCTCCGGTCCCGCACAAGGGCTGCCAGTTCATCCGTCAGCAAGCGGAAGAATTGCTCCTTCAGGAACAGTTCTCTTAGGGAGGCAAAGTCACGCACCCCCTCAGCACTCAGCCAGCGATCCAAATTCTGCGTTAGGCTAGCCGCAGTCAGCGGATAGTTATCAGGAGTAGAATGTCGCTCAACCTTGCGAAAAGACCTCCTGTAGGATTCAGCAGATAAGCCAAACCTCTTCAAGGCTAGCTGTTTAAATTTCTGGAAGTCAGAAGCATCAGGGCCACTAAGGGTCCCTAACAGATCAGCCAGTCCACCAGACAATTGAGATCTTAACACCAGCATATAGTGTTTGGGGTGTAACCCAATGTCTCTGCAGGTCTGCTCATAAAGGGTAAGATATCCGAGCACGTCCTGCCCCTGTTTGAAGTAAGGAAACATCCTTCTATCCACATCCCAGGGGGCAACAAAGTTGGGGGAGGCATTAGGATTATGCTCACCACCTCTCTTGCTGGAATCATCAGCAGGCTGTCGAGGCTTATCTGTGAACAGCTCCTTCCGACCTCTGGAAAAGCCTTCAACCCCGGGGTTGTGGCTAGCTGCCTGCCAGGCTGCGGGCTGGTCCCAAGCGCGGAGATGAGAAGGGCGTCGAGGCAGACTCCAATCTTCCTTCTGTGCACCATGAGGGTCTGTAGAGCCAGCAAACAGCCAGTCGTCTGCGCTTCTGCCGTGCTCCACCTCTCTCTGGTATAGAGGGGCTCTCCTTGGACGCACAACCGGTTCTCCAGCGTCAGCAGCATCCCAGAATTCATCCTGGTCCCTCACGTCATCCACAGTGAGCAGAGATGCATTGTCCATGCTGAAGGAATCACCTCCCTCAGCCATAGCAGCAAAATCTCTATCTACCACTATAGTAAAATAAGAAAACTCCTCCCTAGCCTGAGCAAGCTCTGCACACAGGGCAAAAATACCCAGATGATGACATTTGACTCCAGTTCATACATCCCCACGCTAAAGCCACCATGTCATGATCCTGTCTTTCCCCCAGACCAATCCAGGACTGTGAAAGGAAAGGATCATGGACTGAGACAAAGTATTTTACACAAAAACCCAAGAGAGGTAGTCTCTCTATGGATTTACAGACACGTGCCACCAGAACCTTCCACTATGATCCCCTTCCAGTCCAAGAGGAGGCTCAGACTCTTGACTGGCTTTTGGGACTTATCACAAGAATATTCTTAGCAAGGTAGCAACAGTTGGCAAAGCAGTTCAAGCACAGGATTTAAGGCTTGGAGTCAAAGGTACATCCATCAGACACAGTATTAAAACAGAATAAAGTTTATTAGCAGAAACTTGTAATCAGACCATAGGAGATTAGAAAAATAAGAAAGGCTATGCAAGTTTGTTGCCTAACTATACAATAGGGTATATTTACCAACAAGAAGAAGGGTCAATAGTCCAAGGCGGTCCATTTTAACAAAGTCCACTTAAGTTTCATCTTTGTGCCAGTATGCAGCCATGTGTTGAGCTGCAACCCAGGATCCTTTGTCTGCCAGCCACATGGCAGAAACAAAGCATGTCAGAATAAGTCCACAGACAGTAGATAGCAAGAACAGATTAGCAAGCAGAAAATCTGAGCTCGTGTCTTTGGGTTCAGACTAATAAGGGCCAATTTCAGGATTCAAATGACCCGGGCCAGGAGCCAATGAACACGATCTGAAATTGTCCAAGTGTCTTGAGTGGTCAGTAGTATTGAAGCCACACCTGCAGAATGTGATCCCAAGCTCTAACCACTCCCTCTAACCACTCCTCCATGTGGTACGTGACTCCTGGCAGCTAGGCCTAACTAGGCTCCAGTAGGTCTGCCAGAAGTGTGAAACATGTGTCGTTATATGGCATGGCAATTGAGCAAATGGTCAGGCATAGGAAGCTAGAACACCAGGGGGTGAGGCAATTACATTCCAAGAGGGGAAACATGGAACCTTATAGCATCAACAGAGATACAGAAGGTTAAAAGAATTACACAAGGGATACATGAAAGCTATAGGAATCAATATTTCTAAATATTTCTATACACCCTGCTGTACCAACTAGTTAAACATCTTGTTTCACACAGCAGACTACCAGCTGCCCTGGAAGACTAACAAATGGGACAGAACCCAAGATCCTGATTGTTGCCTCCCAACACTGGCATTCAGAAGTTTACTGTCTCTGATTGTGAAGGATCCTTTTAGCCATTGATGGGCCTATCCTCTATGAATTTGTCTAATCCCCTTTAAAAGTCACCTATGGTCATGGTTACAAGTACATCCTCTGGAACAGAGTAAAGAAGTATTATATGGTAGAAATGAAAGTGAGTTACCAAAAAAAGGATTGATCAATATTTCTGAAGACAGAAAAAAGTGAGGTGAAAAAAAGTGGAGGGAATTTCTTTAGCACAGAACGGGCTGAGTTCTGTCTGGACAGAATGTTGTTTTTATTTATTTATTTTAAAATGTCTCTATCCTTCATTTCTCTCACCAATCAAGGCTCAAGGCATCTTAACAAAACAAATCACATTCAGCATGATATTACAGTACAAACCATGTGCAGAAGACTGGAAATATCTCTGCCCTTTTCCCAGGCAGATTCTAGTGGCACAAGAACTGGGGAACTTGGGGCTGTCTTCCTCTGGCCTGGCTGGAAACCCTCCACTCCCCCCCCCACACACACACACACAAACCATGGCAGATGTATGAACCAGAAAGAAGGGGCTCTGTAAGATGCTATTTGCTTTTGTCTCCCTTAAAATGGAGGTGAGGACAGACTGCTGATACTTTGCACATGCTCACGTGCAGTGTATCAAAGCAAATAAAAATTATTGGGTAAAAGGCCTGCATTTGAGATGGATGAAGTTATTCATTTGTGAAGTAAAGGCACTCTTTGCCATGTCTCTGAATAAGAAAGGGGTGAGGATGGTAGCAGACCAGATAGAATAGTAGCAGTCCAGAGGTTCTCACCTAGCGACTTGTGTGTGTCACGTGTAGCATGAGGGAGAATTGTTTCCAAAAGTAGTTAGGTTCAGAGTCAGTGATGACCCCCCCCCCCGAGTTACCAAGTAAGCTCTGTGGCTTCCCAGTCTGAAACTAGTACTTTAACTGCCAAGTTACACAGGCTGTTTTTTGGTGTTTTGATCTTTGTAGCCCATCTATTCTATTTTTTCTGTTTCTAGATTCTCCTTGTTTCCAATGGAGGAAAGTTTATGAAGAAGACTTTAATTGGCGAGGCATATATCTGGCTTGACAAAGTGGACCTCAGGAAAAGAACAGTAAACTGGCACAAACTTTTGGTCAGCTCAACACAGGCACATTGAGCAAATGCGTCTTCTTGGGGCAGCTAGGCTTTTGAGGTGTCTGTACATGTGGTTCCAAGACTCCAGTTTGATATTGTGTTTAGCTAGATCTTCATACTATTAAGGAGGAAGAGCAGGTTTCTATGAGGGCTAAATAATTGTTCTCCTATATTTAAAAAAACAAACAACCCCCCCCACACAGCAAATGGGGGAAAAATCCACCATCCTGTGCCCAGAAGTCAAAATGACTGTGCTTGAAAAGAGCTTTGTGATGTTGGAATCTTTGTGGCTATGAAGATAAAGCATTTGAAGGCAGGTGTTAGTACAGGGCGGCTGCAGATAAATCTCTACATGGAAGAGAGCAATCTGGGTCTTGGTGTGATACGAAGGAAGCAAAAGCACCGTAAACTCAACTTACGGAAATATCATCCATGTTCTTCACTTCAGACTACCGGGCGTCTGGCTATAGTGAGATGGCGCTCCGGGAAGCAAAGCGCAAGATACTTCCTTTGAAATGGTTGCATAATCTTATTTCATATCATTAGTCACATGCAATGGAGAGTAAGTTCAAAATTATTTCTGTATTAGAACTGTGAAATTACCTAGTTGACATGTGAAGTATAAAAAGTAGATACGTCATTGTAATTGTGCAGGGGGATGCCTTGGAATTTGAGGGATGACTTGGAAAAGAGACTGATGATATTTCAGCCTACCTTTCAGTTGGTTGTTTACAATGATGTGGTTAATTCTACAGGCTTTTAAGTGCTGGAATGAATATCACTGCTTCAACTAATCTTTCTTGCCTTTGTGAACTTGAAGGGGTTGATGTTTCAAAATATTGATAATGAAGTAGTCCCAGTGCTAAGTCAGCAGCTGGAATTCTCAGCACCTATCTGTCTCCGGACAGCGCTGGCTCTTCGGCTTTGAAACGGAGATGAGCACCGCAACCCTAGAGTCGGATTCGACTGGCTTTCGAGGAAGGGAACCTTTACCTTTACCTTTATCTGGCAATGCTGGTTGTTGTGCTTTTCATACATATGTAAACTATGAAGGAGCATACATTTTGTTCTGAAATGGTATTTCACTTGGGAAAATTATGTTCTTAGGGGAATGAATTCTGCACCATAAGGCCAAATCTTGCATCTGAGATTGTGAGCCCAGCAGGTTCCTAAAACAAATGTTGTTTATATCCCTTACTGTGTTGATTGGCTTTTTACTTTTCTCTCAAGAAACGGACATCTCAGGCAGAAACAACAAATCTGTGCAAGCAAGAACCCAAGAACAATGTCCAATTTTATTTTAAATAAGGAATGTTCACTTGCGATACTTGTTTTCAAGACAAATCAAATAAAACAATCTGACGCAACATAAAATCAGATTGACAGTAAGTTTAAATTCTAAATGTTAAACCTTTAGCTGGAGGGAAAGACCTCAGTTCTAGAAAATATATTCCTAAAAAACACATTGAAATACAATGTTTCAAAAAACAAAACTATTAAAGGCCAATTGAACACAGAGCTAGGCAGCGGATTCCACTGTTGCACAACTCTTACTGTAAAAACGTGTTTCCTAATAATCAGCTGATACCTTCCTGCCCTTAATTTAAACCCATTGCAATAAATAATATGCAGAGTATATTATTTTTTCCATATCTGGTTGGGAGAGGTTGTCACTCAGGATTCATTCATCCAATCCCTAGCAGTGATTTGAATTTCAGTCCTCCCCTCATCGGAGCTGCGGTGGCTCAAGTGGTTAAGATGCTGAACGGCAGGCTGTGGAAGGTCAGTAGTTCAGCAGTTTGAGACCCGGGTGCCGCAAGATGGAGTGAGCTCCCATCTCTAGTTCCAGCTCCTGCCAACCTAGCAGTTCGAAAGCAAGAAATTGCAAGGAGATAAATAGGTACCACTTTGGTGGGAAGGTAACAGTGTTCCGTGCGCCTTGGTGTTTAGTCATGCCGGCCACATGACCACGGAAACGTCTTTGGACAGCGCTGGCTCTTTGGCTTTGAAACGGAGATGAGCACCGCAACCCTAGAGTCGGATTCGACTGGCTTTCGAGCAAGGGAACCTTTACCTTTACCTTTACCTTACCTCCCCTCATCACACACACAAAATGTGCTGTGCCATGTAGAAATTATCTTCTGCATCATAACTGCATTCACATTATTGAAAACTAAAGCTAAATAAGAGATGTGTCATTGGATCTGCACTTTTCATAAACATCCAGGTTCAATTAGTAAACAAGTTAAATCTGGTGTGCAAATTGAACTTTTGTTCCTCCTTTAAAATGAAACTCTTGGATCCCTTTACCATGGAGCTGCTGGATCCTATTGCCATGGAGATTTCCATTAGCAGCAAAAACTTGTGGAAGGTTTACAAGGAAGCTGTTTACCATTCCTTAATCAGACTGCAACGCATAGAATAAAGGGTATGGAAAAGCATTCAATTACAAGCATTGACAGCTTCATATTAGAATTGCCAAGGTTTTCCACAGGCTTTTGTGGCTTCTACCTCAGCAACTGCCTTCCTTAGCCAATGGCTAGAGGCCTTGGTTACAAGACTGATGTAGAACAGCCAGTTGAGATTGCGGCTAAATTCTATGGGCCATGCTCATTGTACATGGGAATCAAAGCCTGGGGTAGTAGCTGTTAGGGAAAGTGGTTTCTGTGGGCACTGACTTGTTCTACACCACTACACTAAAAAAAAATGTGTGGCCCACATGCACAGCATCATTCCTGAGACTAGCTGATGCCTCCAAGTTTTCTCTTGACCAAATGTCTGAGTTGTGCTGGAATCATTCTATGCAACAATTAATCACCTTTAAATGCAGTGTTCTTGTATCAAATGAAGATGACAAAATCCTGACTTTTTAAAAAAGAAATAGACTCACATAGAGACTTGGAGTATTTTAAAAATGTGTAGCTATTTCACCATTTTTTAGTTTTTCTTTCTCTCTTTTTTTAATCTCGGGGGGGGGGGGCTTTTATATGACAGAAGTGCTTAGATGGGACAAGGCTCTTAACCTGGAAAGAATCCAAGGTTGTCGCTTTCTTTTAAAATAATAGTCTTCTTTCTTTAAAAATAAGATTGTGCCTGGCACAAGTTTACCTACATGTCTGCTGAGTGGGAGAAAAAAGTTATTGCATTGGAAACATGCTTGAAATCTGAGCTTAAGCACAGTATTTGTGTGTATTGACAAATGACAGGGGTTGTTTCTCTAATGGGGTAATTTCTCTTCTGCATTCCCCTGAGCAGTAGCCAGATCTTGCTGTTATTTTTCTTGAGCCAAAGTGCACGTTTCTGTGATGAATGTAGTAGAGCTAGTTGCTATTTCTTTAAAGGGATAGTATCCAGGGAAAAAAATGAATTCTGTTTCTTTGGTTCTGTACTTCATTCTGAACCTCATTGTCAGTAGTGTTACTTTTCTGGATGCTTAACAATTTGATTGTTCTGGATGGCATAAGATGGGGGTGAGAGCTGTAGCTGGTAACCAGCCAATACTGCTTCATTCTCTAAGGATGAAGAAAATGTAAGCACCCCTATATAGTATACAAGTGAGCTCAGTAGAAAATTGTTTAACATTTAGTTTCCTGGAAATATCATACAGATATTAGTATTTTTTATTTTTTATTTGATTCCTACATAAAATGATTCAGGTGATTTATCTTCATTGGTACTGTCTAATGATTCATAGTTCACTGAGTGTCGATATATGTACATACATACATGTATATGAGAGAGAAATAATGCATATAAGTAACCAAATCTTTGAAGTGTAAAGAAGCAAGAAAGTAAATGTAGGTATCCACTGACATTCTATTTTCATTCATTTCTAGCCAGTTTTCAATGTATAATGAAGCTCCTGAGATATATGGCTATCAAACAATAAACTGGATACTTTCTCTTTCTATGGTTTTCCCCGTGTTTTCTGATTTTGATGAATAATGGATTTCAAAATTGGATTTTCTCTATAAAAGAATGGATTAAGATGTGATTTAAAAGAAAGCCGTTTTCTTAATTTATCTTGTAAATATACATTTTGTATTGGAAATCAGAAGAAAGTTTGGATTCCAAACCCTATCACATTCCAAGCATGTTCATGTCAATACAAGTTGACCTTATCTTGTATACTTGGTTGGTGTGCCCAGGTATTCAGCAATCCCTGAGTGGCATGTGTGGCATTATGACAATGTACCCAATGGGGGGGGCAGGCTACCATAAACAATAAAACTAAAAAGCAACCACAACTTTGGAGAGATGTAATATTTCCAAAATGAATGTTGCATGCACTGGTCTGATAAGTAATATTTTTCACTTGATAGAATTATAAGGACTTTGATTTCTGATTCTCCAAGAAAAAAAGGACGTTCACAATTTATCCTAAAAGTTGCACAACGGGAACAACAACAAATAGTAGAATAATTGTACAAGGAAAAAAATGCTTAATTTCCACATTGTGTATAAAATCCATGTCATGGTTTTGTGATTGTATACCTGTACAATCCTGTATGCAGGCTGTAACTTGAGAATTTATGCAAATTGTGTTGTATAAGGGCTGTTAATCCCAGTCCAATGAATAAACATTTAAAATAATGTGTTATGGGTATATTTCCTGCCAATCAATAGTAATTATTGCACCTAAACTCAGTGGTAGCCAAATGCACAGTCATCTTTCTATAAACTGCTGACTGTAGCCTAGCTCCTCAGACCCAGTTGTAGAGCCAACTCAATGCCACCTGCAGCACTGTCAACTGTATCCAGACCACATACTCAATTTCTTGATTGAGTAAGGATGAGGAGCAGCATCCTCTTTCTCATATTGACTTCTCTGCTGGGTGGATTTGGTTCCTTGTCACTGCTGTTACTCTCTGAATGCTCAGTAAGGTCAGAAAGGCACCAGTTTTACACTCACTACATTTAGAACACCTGGTAACTGTGGGGAAGGTTTATATTTTAAAATAAACCTGAGTCCCCCAAAATCACAGGAGGCTTAGTTGATAGAAATGGCCTGTCAAAGTTATG